TAAAAAAAACAATCTTCAAACTTGCCTCTTTTAGACATAATGGGCATATCTATGAAGTTTTCTAGAAATCAGTATGAAAGGGTTTTGCCATTGTCTTCTTCTTCCAATTACTTGTAGAATTCCCAATCTAATATGGGACTAATAAGAAAAAAATGCACTTAATGGAGCAGAACATGGGATTGCTGCCAACCCATATCCAACCTCCAATACATCAGCTGTCAAATTACAAAAATATAGGGCTATGCAACCTTCTGGGCGATCGCCTGGGCGATCTGCTGTGGTGGGCCGTGGAGGCGGTGGGTGGCCCTGTGGGCGGGGCAGGGGCAGGGGCGGAGCAGGGATGGGGCACTCGGTCTCTAAAAGGTTCACCATCACTGTTCTATGCACATTATTCTGTGTGCAGATAGCTAGTTCCAGGTGGTCTATGTCTGGCTAGAAATGCTTCAGGAGGAGAAAAGAAAACCCCCAAAAGTATTGGCAGTAGCAAAGGGAATGTTGGGAAATGAAGGGGCTAGAGAAATAGTGGGAGGAGTAGCCAAGTGATGCTACTGTCAACATCCTTAGCTTTGAGTGTGGTGTATCCAATTTCTACCACCAGAAATGAATAATCTTGCCACTGAACTTTGAGAGCATGACTGAGATTGCTGGGGAGGTTCATATGTGGCCTATGGAATAGTAATCAGACAGTGCTGCAGTTTTAATTGTTTTGGTTCTTTACTATTCAATTCAATGATTTTCAAGGTATGTTATAACTTTCAAATTAAAGAGTAGGCTTGAGATATCTTTTTCATCAAAATTAGTATTCTGTTACAGAATGTTAAAAGACCAGTTGAACCTGGCCTGGTAGCCTGAGTTCCTTATTTAATGGTTCTTTTCAAAGGGCAAACCTAATTGTGAGTGACTTATGTCCTAACTAGACCTGCGTATTCCACTTCTTACTAATTATCACAAAGATTTTGTAAAGGCAGAAAACTTGCATTGTTCATGGAACAGAAAAATGGAAATCTAAATGCATCATAATGCGGCATTGAAAAAGTAAAATATTACCAATCACCACTTAGCCTTTATATAGCATACCCTGCAACAGGAAATGCCATTGAGGATTTATTTGCTTACAGATTTGTGATTGTGGATGTAGGATCATCTGAGAGATGGATTTGTAATTGGAGTCTAGACTTCATAGTGATTTGTGTGTCTTTTATAAAGCTAGCAGATGTCACTTCATCTAACTTGGCTGCAAAATGGACAAGGCAGAAATCAATGGTCATGGTATATGTTGGCATTAATGTTGGGAAATGTTATGGAGAAATGATGAAATATAGCTAAAACAGACATAATGGAACCTTGGTGAAATGGACAGACTTTGTAGTTCAAAAAAAAGTAGTGAATATGCTATGATTTCAAGCTTCAACTTCTACTGACCATCTGTGACTGGGAGCCTACCCTCTACTACTACTACTACTATTACTATTACTACTACTACTACTACTACTACTACTACTACTAATAATAATAATAATAATAATAACAACAACAACATGGAAAGTTTGCTATCTTAACACATTAAGAATGGGATCCTATATATTTCAGTATGTCAACAGATAGGAGTTTAGCTCAAAACTGAGGTGTCATGTACTAATATCTAGAAGCATCTTTCACTGCAAATAGAGAAACTGAGTAAATATTCATTGCTACATAAATGACTACTGAATTTCAACAGAGTAATGTTATATAAACATTCATGAAATTTATTAACCATTTATGCTGCTATTCTATATGGATCCATGTGGAAGTAAAACCCATTATATTCAAAGTCAAGTCTTTTGACTTCCTAATAAGATTGACACTTGTATCATAGGAATAACCCCATTAAAGTGAGTACTACGTATTGTATTTCTGAGCAGAAAATTTCAGGATAAGGACATAAGAAAAGCCTGGCTGAATCAATCTAAAGCCCCATTCGATCCTGCAGTCTATGCTGACTAACCAAATGCATCTAATTTTCTATTATTATCTAAGAATTGGTATTTAGGATTCTAAAAATATTTAGAATTGCAGCCTTTCATATTCAATAGGAAATCAAAGATTCCCAAGTCGTATCTGTTCAATATAAGAATCTGTAAATAATGGAGTCCATAAAATATAGTTAGTTTTGCATGTTAGTAATTTATGAAGTTGAATCCAACACCAATACGTGTCCAAATTTTTTAGATGCTATCCAAGGCTTGCCACTTGTTCCTATGGGGATAAAAAACTTGAGGGTTCTAGATCAGGATTAAGCAAATTTTTGGTTAAGTTACAATACTGGGGGATACCGAAGACCACATTGGGGACACAGCAAAGTAGGCAAGACCATGTAAAATATAAAGGTAGGAATTGGGTTTTCTGGTCTTCTTGAATTAAGAACACTTGGAGTTTTCTTTTGTTTTAAATCACTTGTCCCGTAAGATAATAGCTCCTTCACAAGTTTTCACAGAGTCAGTGAATAAAAGACTGAAAAAGTCTCCAATGCTGCAACGTATAAATTAAAGCACACTGTCACTTGAAAGCAGTCCTATTGTTGAGATTTCTATGGTTTTTCCTTACCTTCTTTCAATAAATATTGAGACATAACACTCTAGGAAAAACCTTCTATTGAAGTGGGTTGACAAGGTTTAAATATAGTTAAAATTGTCTTTAATTAATTAGTTGGTTCTAATACAAATGCCTATGTTATCTTTCCTTTCCTCCCAATCAATTCAAAATCTGGAAACTAGTAGAAAATGGGCTGCATTTAGAATTATTTTTCTAGAAGAATTTGCTAACTCCATCTTATTGGTCAGTTTCCCCCTTTAATCTCTAACAAAAGGGTTTAAAAATATTTCGGTTCATTGCCAGCTGTTCAAGATGTGTGCTGTTGAATTTCCAGAATGATAACTCTTCCATTAGCTAGCTTTCTTCCTCTGGAGGGAACATCCTTTATAATACCACTGTAATTGGTTCCATATGAACACTTTCCCCTTTTCTTTCCAGTGCCTTATTAACTCCTTCCTTCCTCCTTAGACGCCTGCCGCAGTTTCAGTTCTATTTATGCTCCATGGGTGAATTTGCAAGGGAGATAACCTAGCTTTTTTTATATTGTTAAATTATCCACAGATTAATTGAAGTGTTTCCCAACTTGGGAATTTTGGGTATTGTAGTCCCAACACATCTGAAAGGACCAGATCTCAGAAGAATTGATTTGGTTTTGACTAGGCAGACAGACTAAATGCTATGTGAAAACTCAAAACTGTTATGATTACAGTGTATTGATGGAAACATGTTCCAGAATACCAGAACCAGAATATTTTGACAAAGGATTATCAACAGTCCAGTACATAGATTGTGCTAAAAGAGAATGACTACCCCAGTGAGTTTCCATGGCTGAGGGAGAACTGGAACTTGATTTCCTCCATTCGTAATCCAACCCCTTATCCTTATGACAAACATTATGTTTACAAATGGGAAGGGAGGGGCTGTTCCTTTACAGGTGTTTGCCCAAGAGATTATTTAGTTTCCTTAAAGGCAAAACCAACTAAGTTTCAGATTTGTATATACTCAAATATGTTTGTCCAAGACCACCTAAAACAAAAAACAAAAATAGAATTTAATGGGCTCCAAATGATGGGGGCTTGATCAAAAGGATGAAGCAGTCAAGTAGTAAGAATCAAAGATAATCTGCTAGGAGGGAGATTCAAAAGGTAAGAAGGTGGAAGCAACATAGGTATACAAAGGTCACTCTTTTTTGTATATGCATTGATATCACATACACACTTGTATAAAAAGTGCAGGGCTTGCACTGTGACTAGAATTCCACCATCTCTTATGGTGAACACCTTTGCTCTGGAGAGTTCACACAACTTACTAGCTCATGATTAACAACCTTAGTTTCCTGAGCTAACATTGGTTTACACGATTTAATGGAGCATAAATTAACTTTATTTAGAACTTCCACAGTACAGTACATTGAGCTACAAGTCAATAAATGCAACTGAGTTTAAAATGTTCTGTGATGTTCTGTCTTTGCATTCAATTATTTGCCTACATTGGATAAATTTGCAAAATACATTTAACTGTCAATTTTTAGGTGCAATGCATTGTGCAAATGCACAAACTCATTGTATACCCAGATGAGAACCATTCTAACCCCACAGCATCTTAGATAAATCATCAATTAAAACATCTCCCAGTGAAGCCTTATTCTAGAAACCTCTTCAATTCCTGTTTATATTTCAAAGCCAGATATGTGGACAGGTGTAGAGCAGCTGAAAATACAAGGCACTCATTATGAAGTTGACTGCTAAGGGCCATGCAATGACAGCAAACACCTTCCAAAATTGCTTGGCTGCCATGTCTACCATTTTCCTCTTTGAATCGGTCATATTGCTATAATGAATTTACCGGTGCTCTCCTTGCACAAAGACTGGTGGGATACCAGAAAGGACAAAGCATTGAGAAACACTGTATTTTTCAAAACGGACTCCTTGATCTGGCTAACAGTTTCGTGTTGCCACCTCCAATAAAGAGCAGCTATGGCGGGATTATGGGTTATGTGTGTCAAGAATACTATGCAGATGCAATCAATATTCCACACCCAGAGAATGCAACAGAGAACTCCGAGAGGGAGAAAGAATAAGAGCTGGAAATTATTTTCACACGAGTAACACACGATGCACACCGATCAGAAAGGCCTAGCGCCCTTGACTCTCAATAAACATTCGAAGCGGCGTCACAATGCACGGCCCAGCCTTTCCCTTGAGTTCGAGCCCACTCTGCAGTTGCGTTGCATGACGGGAGTCGTAGTTTTCCGTAAGGTAAACGTGCGGGGAAAAGAATCGTGTCTGTTCCGCCGATTGAACGGCAACGACGGTGGAGCTTTCCTTTGACTCCTCCGTTTTTCCGTAGGTGCCTGGAGAAAGCGAGAGCCGGGCCATGATATCGAAACTGCTGGGACTTTTTCCCCGGACTTTCCGCTCCGTTCGCTTCGCCGCAGGGGCAGCTGGGTCCTCTAGTCCCCAGATCCCCTGGGCGCCCCCAGAGGTGGGACGGAGATCTCTGTGCTCCGTCGCCGTTATGGCTGTACAGGGGTCTTCCCCTCTCCGGGCGGATTCCCAAAGGCTGGAAGCGGAGGAGGAGGAAGCTGGGCGAGGAATAGGAGAAAAAGTTCAGCCTCCCCCTGCAAGCAAGCAGTTGTCACAACAGATCGGTGAGGAGGAGATAATGAATGCTAGGAGCGGTCCCAAAGCCAAGAGAGAGGCGTCCAGCAGACCCACCCTTCTCTTCAACTTTTCCTTCCTTAACGTGGGAGTGGGGGGGGGGGGGCATTTCCATTTTGCCTTTCAGTTTGGCAGTAGCAGATATGAAACCTCCCTTCCTCTAAAAAAGCTTGTGCAATGCTTGTTCCGGCGCTTAGTTACGCTGGCCCGCAAGTTCTCAAACCCAAAAAGGGAGCTCGGTCATCGTAAGGGCATCAGAATCCCTAGAGAGACTACCCGGTGCGTGAATGAATAATCATGAGTGTTCCACATATTCGTGTATTATGAATAATTATTCCGCAAAAGGAAAAAAAGGGGGGGCTAATAATCCTTTTAAAAGGAAACAACCAATTGGGCTGAGTCCAGTTCAGTCAACTTCTGGATATTATACAGACATGTATGTCCCTGTTTTCTTGGCAAGGGTACAAAGTGGCTTGCCATTGTCACCTTTTAAAAAAATTTCAGTCTAGCTTGCCATTCTGATATTTTTTGATGGCCTCCTTTCTAATTAGTGATGAAGTCTAATCCTGCTGTTGATTTATCATGTAACTGGCAGCTGGAGGTTACCACTAGGACTAGGAATTATGATGGGCTTATTAAAGTGTAGTAAGTGAGCTTTTAAGCAGGTCAATATTTATTACATCATGCTTTTTAAGCAAACAGTTGGTAAGGGTAATAAAACCTCAATTTGCACAATTTTTCTGTGCTCCAGATTGGCCCAGAAAGTAAACAGCTGCCTTAGAAGTCATTCATTGCATTTTTGTTTTGTTAAGTCACCTTTTGGTTTTACATGTATTACTTCATGTGGTTATTTTGTTCTTTTTTTTAGTGGGCATAATCCATTAACTGATTTTCTTTCACCATATGTTTATCCTGTTAGAGACATTTGACTAAAACTTGGTGGTATGTGGTAGATTTTATAGTACAATATGAAGTTGCATTTTCTATCCATCTCATTCCATTAATTCAAACTGTTTTAGTTTGCATTAAACTACAGGTGCTTTTAGTGTCCCTTCCCTTCCATTTTCTCATAGAAACAGAATTACTGAGGGAAAGTAAAAGTTTCTATCTTTTAAATCCACCTAGAAAGCAAAGTGATATTAATATCTGGTCTACTTTAACAGCTGCCAGCAATTCAGACTTTGTAATAGACTTTTAATACAGTTTGGGGGAAAGTATCAGTGAGGTGCATTCATATTTACTACCTAAGACAGCAATTATTCAGGTACAGGTAGTCTTCAACTTACAACCGGTTTAGCACCCGTTTGAAGTTACAACAGTATTGAAAATAAAATACTTACATCTCACAGCATCCTCATAGTCACATCAACATTCAGGTGCTTAGCAACTGGCAAGTGTTTACGATGGTTGTAGCATCCTGGGGTCATGTGATCACCATTTGTAATCTTCCCAGATGACTTCTGACAACCAAAGTCAATGGGGAAAGCCAGATTCACTTAATGACCATATGATTCACTTAATAATCGCTTAACAACTATGGCAAAAAAGGTAAAATCAGACATGACTCAGTTAACAACCACTTGGATTAACAATAGAAATTGTGGTCGTAAGTCAAAGACTACCTGTATTAAAATGTTGCCTGTTGTTAGTCACAGACAACCAAAATGGATTACTTTTCTTTCACTAAATGATATTGACAACTGTTCCAAAAAAATCCCCCTTTACAATGCAAGATATGCTGAAATAAACCCTAGTTCCTAGTTAACAACCGGTACTCTCAAGGGCAGATATGGTAGCACAAATAATGAGGAAATACCTATCTTGGGAGATCCAAGGGTTGAATGCAGGTATATTTCATGATCCTCCTAATATTTGTGAATAGTAGTTGAATGTACTCATAGATCCAGATTGTATAGCTTCAGCAAAGCTTATCTGAGGCATTCCAGAATTGCAAAATTTATAATAATTAAGGAACACATGCTTCTGTAAAACCACATGTTGTCTATTCCTGAAAGTGTGTTCATATTTTAGAAATTGAATATTTACAACAGAATCTGGTTCAAATTGCCGTTTCTTAGTAATAAGGAACAGAGCAGCCTGTGAACCTTGCTGCAGTAGATACTCCAGATCAGGCTCGATTCCTGATGATATAATGAATAAATTTATATAATTTTATTGGTAGCAGTCCCAAATGTGGTTTGCCATAGCCATTTTCTAATGTGTTGTTTTGATTTCTCAATCTAGTCTACATCTCTTGTATTCCCTAGATGCCTTCCATTCAAATAGTAACCACACCTCTGCTTCTCCATAATTAAAAATTCATCTTCAGTTTGAAAACAAGGAAAGAACAGTATATTCTGAGAAAGTACCTAATCCTAGGCTTACAGTACTCAATTAGAGAT